GAAGCAACGGTCTGCTCGGTCGTACTGGAGAAGGGGAGATCCTGCGAGGGTTGGTAGTCCCAAGGGAACCAGGTTTACTGCGTTGTTCGACGTGATGGTGGATGAGTTGTTCGACTAGGTGAAACTAGGAACGTAGCTTAGAAAGTTCGACCTTTTGATACAACGGTCTACACTCCTATATTGATGCCTGACTCGTAGACGACGAGCGAGGACTTATGGACAGTGCGTCGTCCTGAAGATCGAGCGAGGAAGTCGAGAATGACCACTACCCCAAGCGAAGAGGAGCAGAGACTTGAATGAATAACCAGGTCGAACTTAGGGTTCGACCGACTAATGGTACAACTACTTATACAAGTACCGACTGCGCACGGACCATTGTGTCTATGTGGTCGTGTTAGTGAAGAAAGAAACGTAGTGGTACGATACCAGGCACGAAGTGCACATGGACCCCATTATGTAAGCTGAAACATTTATCTTTCCGTTCTATTTCTTGTATTACTAGCGCCCATACTGGCGCCTGTCTTAGCGCTCACCCGCAGGTTGAACATTATGTAGCTTACATAATGGGGTCCGTGCGCACTTTGTGCCTGGTATCGTACCACTACGTTTCTTTCTTTACTAAACACGACCACATAGACACAATGGTCCGTGCGCAGTCGGTACTTGTATAAGTAGTTGTACCATTAGTCGGTCGAACCCTAAGTTCGACCTGGTTATTCATTCAAGTCTCTGCTCCTCTTCGCTTGGGGTAGTGGTCATTCTCGACTTCCTCGCTCGATCTTCAGGATGACGCACTGTCCATAAGTCCTCGCTCGTCGTCTACGAGTCAGGCATCGATATAGGAGTATAGACCGTTGTATCAATGCATGCAGCACCTTCAGTCCAAAACAGTCAATGAGCACAATGCCACCATCAGCCATCAATGTTTCAACCCCAATGACTTAGTCTTGCTAGAGGTCAACATCAAGCACTGGAAGATCAATGAAGATGGAAGCCCAGCATACACTCCAGGATGGGCGAGGTGGAGGACAGGTTTGGAGATGCTCGTGTTGTCGTGCGTATTGCCTGGCAACGATGTGGCCGTTGACAATGAGTACACATTTACCCTTGAGCTGCCATGCAAGCAGGAAAGACCTGCCAGTAAATGATGAAGTGTTCATTGCCATTGCACTTGAGCTGGACATTGCCGCTCCTGTATGAAATCCTGAGTCATGTGCAGTGATCTCATTGGTCAGGATGTCGCACAAATATTCTGGCAATAATCATTACATCAACAGGGCCGTTGTCTCGTTGAACCTGTTTGTGGTCCCTAGTGCAATTCAAACGGCTATTTGGTACTGGCGGGCAGAGCTGCCAACTTCTACAAGTGAACAAGAATTTGATCGAGGGTGAAAACACCGATCCTGTGGCATCACATGACTTTGAATCTAATTTGTCGGAAACAAATTAGATTCTGAGTCATGCGATATCTAGGATCAAGATAAGATAGTTATGTCAGCTGAGGGCATACGAAGACATACCACCACTTTAGAGTGGTCAGACCACGGTCAATCTGGACCAAAAATATCTCCAGAGACGCAGAATACAGTAACGATGAAGCCCCGAAAATTCGGAGGTCAACAACGCATGATTTGCATCACACAGAAGAAATTTGGCAGATTTGGCTTGAAAAGCTAAATCTGGACCCCAGATACCAATCAGACCACCACCACCAATAGGGTTGGAGTCGCCGCAAGTTCTAACGGATGCCCCTTGGTACTTACACTAGGATGGTGATCACTTTGTCGGTCTCAGGATATTGGCAATCATCTTGCGACCACCTGCAGCTGTTTCTAGGTACAGAATCCTTGGCAATACGTGCAAGTACCAATGGGGAGCGTCAATGCCAGAAGACATTTAGACGTGCGTCTGGCAACTCGGCGGCAACACAGTGGTCCGCAGCTGGTTGCAACTCATGAAACGATAAGGGATCTTTGTTTGGGACGCTCCTCGGGACGCTGTGGATGCATTTTAGAACCCACATGCTTTCTGTGGTGAATTGACCTGCAGATTCGGCTAGGTTTGCATTAATGCAGCCTTGTTGTGTCAGACTGCCGCACAACCCTGGATGCTGATGGCCCGTCAATTCCTGGCGTCGGCAAAGGTGCGTTGGTATACTTAAAAATGTCGACTGCGAGTACGGGGGTGGGCTGCAGGATATCTAGTTTTAAGTGGCGGATCTGGACAGCCATGCATAGACCATCCAGGTCTAAGTTTGGCCGAGGAGTGAGAAGAGGAGAATGAATGCGCCATAACACGCGATCAAGGGAGGGTGCCTGAACAGTAGCCCCGTGTGTTACGTATGATTGTCGCGGGCAATGTGCGTCAGTGTGTGTCCCACCGTCCATGGCCGAAACATGCACGCACGCGCCATATATAACCTCGTCGACGCAGCATGATACCGCCAGCCCTGCGACTGCTCCCACCATGAGGCTCTCCCTTTGGTCCGTGTTGGCTCTGACCTCTCTCGCTGCCGCCGCTCCCGGCTCGCCCAGCGACTGCGCTCACAAGGTCAAAGAGTCCGTCGCCCCTCCTCGTGGATGGACCAAGACCAAGGCCGCTCCTGCTGATCATCTCATTGAGCTGCGAATCGGCCTGCCACAGCCCAACTTTGCGGTGCTGGAGCAGCACTTGTACGAGATCAGGTAGGGGTGTATCCACTCACAGTCTTGGGTGTTATGACACTGATCGAGGCGCTTAGTGACCCATTCCATGAACGTTATGGTGTACACCTGTCCAAAGAAGAGGTAGAAGCCCTCGTAGCGCCTCACCCCGAGAGCATCCAGCTCGTCGACGAATGGCTTGCCTCTCATGGTATTCCATCGGACGCGCTGTCCCGTTCGCCGGCTCAGGATTGGGTTACCATCCGAATTCCGGTCTCTATGGCCGAGGAAATGATGAAGACGGTAGGTCTCTTTCTGTCAACAGATGCCCGTTTGTGGACTCATCATGTAACCAAGGAATATCACGTCTGGGTCCACGATGCAAGCGGCGCCGCCCTCGTGCGCACAACCTCCTACAGCCTCCCCGAGCACCTCCACGCGCACGTCGACGTCGTGCAGCCCACGACGTCCTTCGCGCGCTTCAGGCGCGACGCCGCGACGTACCACTTCGCCGGCGACGCGCCCGCTGCCATAAAGACCGACGCGCCGTACATCTCGATACCCTCCGCGTACAACGGGCAGGTGAACGCGAGCTGCAACGCGTCGATCACGCC